TTTCCGGGCCTTTTGGAATTGGAAATGATTTTGTACTTCTGAAAATTTTTGGAAAATTTTCCGAAAAGGCTAATTCCGATCCGATCCGATCCGATCCATCCGACTTTCACCCTACTATGGAAAAAAAAAGGACTGCTGAGTTTGCGGAGTTGTATGTTGGAGCATAATTTGATGAAACTTATGCTTGTTGGTTTTGATTTAAAGGGGATGGGTGGATATTACATGATAGTTATGATCCTGAGTTGGTTTACTAACTGACAACAAATTACACAATACATTAGGACATGAAGCACATTATTAAGAGTGAGAAAGGATGAGATTGAACCCGTTTCGGACAATTTTAATTTTATTGTTCCTTCACATGTCATATGATCAGTTGCTACATAAGTGATGATTCATAAATCATTAGACCAAAAAACAAGAAAAGGCAGTCAGATCTGACTTACTGGTTGTTAATACTTACAAGCTAGTTTCTCATGTATTTCTTTAATCAGGGCCCCGAGATTCGAACTGGTTTCCTCAAGGACGGAAAACCCGTTCAACTAAAAGAAGGCCGAGAAATTACAGTAACAACAGATTACACAATTAAAGGAGACGAGGAAACAATCTCAATGAGTTACAAAAAATTGCCCGTCGACTTGAAACCGGGAGGTACAATTCTGTGTGCAGATGGTACAATCACACTCTCGGTTTTGTCATGCGACCCTGCTGCCGGAACAGTTAGATGCCGTTGCGAAAACACAGCAATGCTGGGGGAGAAGAAAAACGTGAATTTACCGGGGGTAGTAGTGGATCTTCCAACACTTACAGACAAGGACAAAGAAGACATACTAGAATGGGGTGTTCCTAATAAAATTGATATGATCGCTCTCTCTTTTGTTCGTAAGGGATCTGATCTTGTTAATGTCCGAAAGGTTCTCGGCCCTCATTCCAAGCGTATTCAGTTAATGTCAAAGGTTTGTTCACTTATCTAATCGATCTTTTCTTTTTTTTTTTTTCCTTGTTAAAGCATGGATGTTTATATTCCAAGTGTATTCAGTTAATTTTGAAAGGATTTAATTACTTTGTATTGTGTATATTTGTGTTATAACGAATTGCTAGAAAAATCTTTGTGTTATTCATATTAGCAAAAACTCCCCTATTATGCCTTTTGTTTTTAGCACACATCCCTTAAATGGTGAGGTTTTAGGAGTAGTTTGCTAAAAACAATTGCATTATAAGGGTTTTTTTGCTAATACTAATAAAGCGATGACTATTTTTACAATCAGAGTAAACACAAGGGTGTTGAGTGCAATAAACTCTACCTGCGTATAGTAAAACGAATTTTGTCGATTCATTTCTCTGATTATCGACATTATTATATATCAAAGGTTGAGAACCAAGAAGGAGTGATCAACTTCGACGAAATCCTCCGCGAAACAGACTCGTTCATGGTCGCCCGTGGCGATTTAGGAATGGAAATACCAGTTGAAAAAATATTCCTCGCCCAGAAAATGATGATATACAAATGCAATATCGCGGGGAAGCCAGTCGTGACCGCCACACAGATGCTCGAGTCCATGATCAAATCCCCCAGGCCCACACGCGCCGAAGCCACCGACGTAGCCAACGCAGTCCTGGACGGAGCCGACTGCGTCATGCTCTCCGGCGAGAGTGCCGCCGGAGCCTACCCAGAACTGGCGGTTCAAATCATGGCTCGTATTTGCATCGAGGCTGAGTCATCGCTCGATTACGGCGCCATCTTTAAATCGATGATAAAGTGGACCCCACTGCCCATGAGCCCGTTGGAGTCCTTGGCTTCTTCGGCCGTGAGGACTGCCAACAAGGCGAGGGCGAAGCTGATTGTGGTGATGACACGTGGCGGGTCGACTGCGAAGCTTGTGGCAAAGTACAGGCCCGCTGTGCCGATCTTATCGGTGGTGGTCCCGGTTCTGACGACGGACTCGTTTGATTGGTCGATTAGCGACGAGGCTCCAGCGAGGCAGAGCTTGATTTATAGAGGGTTGATTCCAGTTCTTGCTGAAGGGTCTGCGAAGGCGACTGATGCGGAGTCGACTGAGGTTATCTTGGAAGGTGCGCTGAAGTGCGCGACTGAAAGGGGGCTTTGCGAGAGTGGTGATGCTGTTGTGGTGCTTCATCGTATCGGGTCTTCGTCTGTTATCAAGATTTGCCTTGTTAAGTGAAAGAGGGGATTATTATCGCATCTTCATTTCTAGTCATTACTTGTGGTTTTTCCTTTATTTATTTATTTTGGTAATCTTCTATTTTCCAAGAGATATTGATCAGTTGCTTGGGGAGCTGCAACTTGATTAACTAATCAGTCCTACTACTTAAATAATGCATGCAGCTTTTTGTTATGTTGCATACTATTATACTTCTATTTCAAAATAGACTCGGTTAAGGTCTATTTCAAAATAGCTTTGTGTTATGCTGCATACTATTATAGTATATATTAGTCTGCACAAAATATATAATCTGCACAAATAACATTAGGGCGTATTATAAATAAAAGGAATTCATATAAAAAACTATTTCACAAAAAAATTCAAATAATGTCCAGAAATGTGTAAAAGATTAAAATACTCCTCATATTTTAATATACTTTAATTTTATCTTTTAATTCAATTCAACCAGAATTTGACCATAGATTTCATCAATTACTCAATTTTGAACCATAATTCAATTTTGACTAAAATTTTGTCAGTCGCCGTTGCTGGCTGCCAGACTCTGGCATTGATTTTTTTTTCTTTTTCTGTCTTTTTTTTTCCGTCGTCGGCTTATTTTGATTCTTTTTGTCTGCGATCAACACCGGTCTTCTGTTTAACACAGTAATATTAAATTACTGTTTAACACAATAATATTGATATATTACTCTCTAGCACAATAATATTAACACAACAAAAATCACTATTATTGTGTAATAGAGTAATATTAATATGTTGACCGTTCAACAAAGCCAAACATACGAAAAGACTAAAAGAATTAATATTGATTTGGTTGACAGTAATATCATCTTAGGGCGGCAGCGTTGAACCATTTCCACACCATAGCCTCCACCCACAACTTAACAATGTAATTCCCTGTAGGGAATCAAGTATGATAAGTGGTCAGTGAATAAAGGGACTCGGAGTGCTACGGACAAGGGATCCGAAAGCAGAAGGCATGCAGCAGTAAGGAACAACCAAGTAGGATAGGTGGAGGAAGAAGAGGTGCCAGTGGCCCGTGAGGCCAAGAAGAGAAAAAAGTCGGATAGAGATCCCGAAACAAGGCTTACAACCCGCGTCATGTGGGGACGGGATACCCGGATGCACCACGAAAAAGGGTGCGCCCGACGATCGGGTGTCTTCTTTTACTTTTTTCTGTTCTTTGATAGGGCAGCGCCTTTTTTTTTTTTTTTTTCTCTTTTGTAAGAATTCGAGCAAGGCGATTCAAACCTCTTCTTTTGTTAACTTTCCCTTTGAATGAATAGATCTTCCCCAACCTTTTTTTTTTTTTTTGTAAAAGAAAACATGAAAAGAAGAAATTGTATGCTTATTAATGGAGTGCTCGGTCCGTCGGCCTCCTGAAGACATTAAACGGAGTGCTCGGTCCGCCGTCTCCTGAAGACATTAACGGAGTGCCCGGTCCGCCCGCCTCCTGCAGATATTAAGAGAGTGTTCGGCTCGCCGACCTCCTGAAGACATTAATGAAGCGTTCGGTTCGCCACCCTCTTGAAGACATTAACGGAGTGCTAGGTCCGCCGGCCTGCTGAAGACATTAACGGAGTGTTCGGTCTGCCGATCTCCTGAAGACATTAACAGAGTGCCCGATCCGACGGCCTCCTGAAGGCATTATCAAAGTGCTCGGTTTTGCTGACCTCCTGAAGACGTTAGTGAAGTGCTCGGTCAGCCAACCTCCTGAAGACATTTAAATGTAAGGCTCACCTGAAGTACCATGCCTCCTTCTGACAAAGCCTCGGAGATGAAGGTCTTTGCCTGGAGCCAAAATTCCCCAACGGGAAATCTGGCTGTAAAGCCATTAAGCCTCGGACTCACCGCCAACCTCTATGAAGAAGACCTAGGAAGACGAGGTGGTAGAGAGAAGGACCTTTGAAAACTAAAAAGTGAAGAAAGAACCCCATTTTTTATACAGTACCCACTAGCTAGTCAGCTGGAGGGGAGCCGTAGATAGCGCGTGGCTTCTAGACCCCGGGTTAGCCGACCGAATCTCTGGATAAGGGTAGTGTGCGACGCAAATAAAAAAATCTTGGCTCGCCAATCAGATGCAAGGATGAAGGACGATAAAGGAAACCCCACTCGCCAATGTCGCCCTCCCAACAACTGGGAACAATGTTGGCGGGAAGACGGGCCCTAATCGAATCCTCATCCAAAACAAAGACATCCTGGCTCTATCCAAATTTCTTTGAGCGATGCGGACGGTGTGATCGATGGCGAACTCCATATAAGGAGAAAAATCGTCCAAAAACTGGGTCGAGTTGACATAACCATGTTTAGTGGCGAGACGATACTTCTGGAAAAGATCTCGCCTCGCGTGCTACATGGAAAAAGAGCGATAAGCAGCCACTCTCTGGATCTCACGCTCGGTAGACAACTCAGTCATGACTAAATTCGTTCTTGGTACGCCGCAACTCTTTCTCCAGCTCAATGACACGCTGGTCGGAAGCCCAAAGACGACCTTATAGGGCCTCCGCATGCGTCGGAGAAGCAACTTCGCCTCCTTCGAGGCCTGGACTTTATGCTGGAGTTGTTCCTTCTGGTCGCGCAACTTCATACAAAAGTTGTTCGCCATCTCGCAATTTTCACGCAGGCAGGAAACTTCGGGAGTAACCTCAATGCCTTTCAGCGCAAAGGCACGATTCACCAAAAATCCCGTCAACTGCATCAAGGATGGAAATTGGACTTTTAAACTAAAATACGATCAGGTTACCGTAATAGTATATCGACGAGGCATACCTAGCCCAGGGCCATGGAAACACGCTACAAGATTGCACCCTCGGAAGAGCTCTGCACGGACACTCGATCCCGATGAGTACTGAATTAGCGAAAAAGACCACGAGCTCGCCCCGCTCAACGTCTGAAGACACCAAAAACGAGGAAGGCAAGGAAGTAGTTGGAGCAGAGGGCATTGAATCACTGGTTGATCGCTTTGCAGGAGGCTCCTTTAAAAGAGAGGACCTGGTGGGCCGCGTCTCGTTGGCCCGGTCACGAGCCGCGCTATGCTCGTGAGCGTCCGCGAGCATGAGGGCTATCGACGGAGTGATATCAAGACCAACAACCCCTCGGGCCGGAGATCAAGATCGGGTCAAGGAGGCTTCGAAGGGCTCGCTTGGACTGCCTCTTTTAATCAGTCTGTTGAGCAGACTCATTTCTAGCACAAAAAAAAAAAAGAGAAAGAAAACGAGGTATACGTATAAAGGGAGGAAGCAAGGTGAAAAATTATTACATATACAAAAGAAGAAAAACAGACCACATGCGAGTACGTTAAGCTGGCGATAAACCACATCATTACCAATATCCCCGGTACAGGGCATGGGCAGGTTTGCGACTGACAGGTCAAAGCCTCGCATCAGAAGAGGCGAAACTACCACTTTTTCAACACTCATCATAAAGTGCCGAAAGAAGTTATTTAATTATTGTCTCCACCTCATACTGCAGGTTGCTAGACAAAGGCCCGTGGAATGGGAGTCCCGGAGACATGACTGGTGGGGAAGGACCACTAATAGCGGCAACAGACGAAGAAATACTTCCGCGACCAGTTCAAGGGACTTTTCGGTAGATCGCAGTAGATACTGGACTCATAACGGGCGAAATGGCCAAAAGAAAAGGGAACCAACCTTTTTTACGAAGAAAAATAGTAAAACAACGTAACCAAGGGCTCAATACCGAGTAAGCGGCTGATGATATAAAAACAACTCATCTGGCTGATCGCCGGAGGAGTAAACTGGTTGAGGGAGACTTTGTACATACGCGAAACTTCGGCAAAAAAAGGTTTTGGGGGAAAGGAGAGACCTGCCTTCACCTAGTCAGAACTAAAAGTCACGCAATCTCAAGGAGGACGAGCTGGATTATCCGTGGCACGAGCCACCAAGGCCAGCTCTCTCTTAACTCGGTAACCCTGGCTAGATTCGCTAGCTGGGGCCAACTGATGAGTGAGGGAAATGAGGGAGAATGAGTGGTAGGGCTAGTAATCGGAGTTTCATCGGAATCACTCAGGGTAATAGGAGTTTGAGCAGAACGAGACATTTTTCCTAAGACAAAAAGCGGAGGGTACAACAACTCTTCAAAAAATGGAACAATTCCTTACTAAAAAGCGCAAAAACGCAGTAAAGGGAATAAGGCAGAGCAAGACGAATGTAGAAAATCAAAAGCAGAAGACCATAACTGATACGGGCCAATCTGACAAAACCGAATAAACATAAGCCCATGATGATAAGCCCATGATGACTTAGCTCGATATTACAAGAGAGGTCGTTGGACCGTACAACCTCGGGGGCGATATAAGAATACCTTAACTCGCCAGCCCAATACCGAAACGAGGTAAAGCGAGCCCAGAGCAATAAAGGCCCAAGATACATGACTTGAGGGCAGGGAGAAACCCTAAAAAGGGAAACCTTGGAGGCCAAGGCTTCATCATCTATAAATAGGAGAAGACATTGTATTTTTCCAGGCATGCTATTTACGTACTTTTTATAAACCTACTCTAAAAATACTATACTGACTTGATCGTCGGAGCTTTCCCGCCGGGAATCCCTCCCGGCGTTGCAGGTCTCTTCACCGGAATCCAGACAAGAATATAAGGAGCGCGAGAAGAAGCCCTACGAACTAAATCAAGTGGTGCCGTCTGTGGGAAAACTTTTAAAAATTTGGAGCACAACTTCCAGGAAAATACTAGATCTGCCCCTGGAAGTCCAGATCTGAGCTGAAAACGTGGAGAACGATGGAGGAAGGAAACACGATTGCCCGAAACCTACAAAAGGAGTTGGATGCAGCCGTTCGCGACACACCTGGTGTCGATCCGCCGTCTGTCTTGAAGGAGAAGTCAGGATGCAGCCTACTTACGCCTGAGAAGGAAAGACGGATCCCCCTCTTTTCAAGTAGCCCTTCTTTCGAGTTTCAAAGTGGTGAAGTCGCCTCGAAAAGACCGGCCACGGTACCGGCTCCGTCCCCTGACGAGCGTACATACACCCGGGATGAAGTAGAGGCCATGATCACTACGGCCATTCGAAATTACGCTCAATCCTTGCCCCAGGATAACCGACCTAAGAGAGACTTGAGACGCTCTCCGAACGAAGGGCGAGCTGAAGACGAGTGCGACCGTTATTCGGAGAATCGAAGAGGTGATAGTCATGGTGTCAGGACCGAGGTGGATAGTCTGAGGCGCGATATGAACGAATTAAAAGCCCTGCGGAACAGTTCAACGCGAGTTATCGGGGGATCTAGCCCTTTCGCAAGACACCTCGATGATGATCCCATACCCGCTAATTACCGACCTATTTTGTTCGAATACAATGGCACATCAGACCCTGCTGAACATCTAAGTCGTTTCAACAATACAACATCACTTCACCAGCTCACGGAAGGGGTGAAGTGTCGTGCCTTCGTCACCACTTTAGCTGGGCCGGCTCAGGCCTGGTTCGGTTTGTTGCCCCCCGGAAGCGTACATTCTTTCGGACAATTTGCCAAGGCCTTCATGAATCAGTTTGCTAGCTCGAAGAAGTGCAAAAAGACCTCTCTGTCGTTGTTCAGCATTCGTCAAAAGGAGAAGGAAAGCCTCAGGAACTACATCAAGCGGTTCACTTCGGCCACCTTAGAGGTCCCCACTACCAGTGACGAGGTGCTTATGGCAGCCCTTTCACAAGGACTAAGAGATGACGAGTTTTTCCGAGCTCTAGCGCTGGAACCTTCGCCTGATTTTGATAATCTGCTAGAGAGAGCATCTAGGTTCATTAACCTAGAAGAAGCCCGCCAGCAGAAAGTGGAAGAATCTCACCAAACCGCGAATGCACGAGTTAACGAAGTAAAGAAAGGCAAGGAGCCCATGTTACCTCGAAGGGATGCCAATACTCCCGGTCGGGGTACTGCCCCGGATGCTAAAGGATCTCGATATCAATCGTATCAGCCTCTTACGGCCCCTTTGTCCCATGTGTTGTGCGAAATCGAGAAGAGAGTTGACTTGCGATGGCCCCGGACCGCTCGAGAAGCACGTCGCCGAGATCCAACACTGGGTACCTTTTGTCGTTTTCATAACGAATATGGACATATGACTAACGATTGCACGCATCTGAAAGATGAGGTGGAACGTCTTATCAGAGACAATAAGATTGGAGATTTTGTGAAGATAGACCCCCCTCGGGAACAAAAGCGCGAGGCTCAGTTCGGAAATCCTGCGCGAGTCCCGCCCCCGCGACCAATGCCAAAAAGAGGATTCATTCAGATGATTTCAGGGGGCCCCACGGGAGGAGATACTCACCGGGCTAGGAGGCGCCATCTCGGTAGTCTCAAGAACAATCGCGAAGTTTGCCAAATTTCTACATCGAAGTGCCGTCAATACCCCACTATCTCGTTTGGTCCTGAAGATGAAGTAGACCTTGATGATTTTCATTGCGATCCTCTCCTCATCACGATTAACGTCGGAGGGTACGACGTCGCTCGCGCTTTTGTCGACTCAGGGAGTTCAGTGGACGTCATATCTTACGAGTGTTTCCTACAAATGGAACTCGATCTCCCGATCTTCCCTGTCACCGCCCCGATATTTGGGTTCACAAGAGGATCCCTAACACCGATCGGACAAGTTAAAATCCCTGTCACTATAGGAACGCCACCTCGAGCTCGTACGCAAACTGTCAATTTTGTCATCGTTGAAGGTTCGCCGACCTCCTACAATATCGTAATAGGATGACCAATGATGCACATCATTCGGGCGGTCCCTTCGACCATTCATCAAAAACTCAAGTTCCCAGTCGATGGAATGGTAGGAGAGGTCAGGGGTGATCAAGCCCAGTCAAGATCCTGTTACGTCGAAATGGTCAAGATAGCCGAGAAAGGGCGACGCGACACTTTCAATAAAGAGGACTTGGGAGACGAGAAGCGCCCCCGAATCGATCCGGAAGATAAGGTTAATCATGTACAACCCATGGATGAATTAATGACAATTGACCTTGTCCCCGACATGTCGAAACAAACCCGGATAAGCAAAGACCTAGAACCACCTCTCCGAGACGAGCTGATAGCATTATTACGATCTAACGAAGACATCTTCGCATGGCAACCAAGTGACCTAACCGGTATCGCACCTCGTACTGCTGTGCACAGGCTCAATTTGCGACCTGAGTGCAAACCCGTCAAGCAAAAACGGCAACACTTCGGCATTGAAAAAGACGAGATTATAAAAAAAGAAGTCCAACGACTTCTGGACATTGGACATATTAGGGAAATCCAATTCCCCACATGGTTGTCCAACGTAGTGTTAGTGCAGAAGGCCAATGGTCAGCGGCGAATGTGCATTGATTTTAGGGACTTAAACAAGGCCTGCCCAAAGGATGATTATCCCTTACCTCGTATAGACCAACTTGTAGATGCCACTGCGGGATGCGAGCTACTCAGTATGATGGACGCCTCACAAGGATACCACCAGATCCCGTTAGATGAAAAGGATCAGCCGGCAGTGAGTTTTATCACCGCCACGGGCACCTACTGTTACGTGGTGATGCCTTTCGGTCTGAAGAATGCAGGGGCCACGTATCAGAGATTGATGGATAGAATGTTTCGGGCTCAGCTCGGGCGCAATATT